CTCTCCATCATGTTCTCGTGCCCCGCGCGGTGAGGCCCCCGAGGTGGGGAACCCAGGAGGAGGACCCATGCTTCCGACGGGCTGCTCTGTTCAGCAACAGTCTTGTTCCGATACCACACATCCCAAATCTTAGGGATACTTGACCGAGTCCCAGGAAGACTGCCATCGAGAACTGAACGACAGTTCTAGGACCCTGGCATCTGTCGTCAAACAAAATCGCGATCGCATGTGTTTTTTCACGTTTCTGGCCTCCAGGGCCCATCAGGCCCTGGGGCTATCAAACAAACATCCATGATGAACAACCGATCTGAGGGATGGGGTCTAGAGCTCACAATAGAGCGATCCGCCACAGATCGAGGAAGGAGGCATGCTTGACATATCTATGACGTATGGGGTGAAGGAGGGAAGGAGGAAGAGGCGATAGAGTGGGGCTTGAACAGAGAGGAGGTGGAGGAGGAGGAGGAGGAGGAGGAGGAAGAGAAGGAGGGCGAGTGAGGAGGAGGAGGTGGACAGTGAAGAGGAGGAGGAGGAGGAAGAGGAGGAGGAGTAAGAGGAGGAGAAGGAGAAGGAGGAGAAGGAGGAGGAGGACCAGGGTGTGCCGTAACTACCCGTTTTTGCCCAAGCGCGGACGAATTGCAGAGGTCACGGTAGCTTCGACTTCTCCACGACGGTTCCAGCACCCCAGAACGACCTTCAAGAGGCGGCCCAGATGGGCCCAGACCCAGGGAGTTTTAAGAGGACCAGTGGAAGGTCCCCGGGGTCCAACATTCACTGATTCCCATTCGGTTCCTGACTGATGCTTAGGATTACTGCTGTTCCGCCGCTTGACCGTCCAAGTCGGCTCAAGAGGCCCCTGACAATCTCCGGAGCGATCCAAAGTGACCACAGACGCCCAAGACAGCCTTATGGAGCCCCCAGACGGCCACACAGGGCCCCATGGGGGAAGCTCAAGACGGCACAAGAGGCTCTCCGACTGCCCTCCAGGCAGGGCCAAGTGGTCCCCCGTGCCCAAGCAGCTTCGGGCGGCCCCCAAGCGGCCCCACGGGGCCCCCCAGAGAAGCGTACCCCTTACCATGGACGCGTCGCCCTCGGGGGTGGCGGCGCGCGGGGTCAGAGATCTTACATCGCGTAGGCTCGGTGGCGGTCACGTTCTGGCCACACCGCGGGGTAAAGACATCCGGGCGCACGCCTCCGAGAACGAAGCACAGTAGTGTGTCCTTCTGCGTCACATGACAGACTCAGCGGGCCCCCAGACGGCCCCACGGGGCCCCCAGAGAGGCTCAAGACGGCCAAAGTCCGGCGTGGCGTAATGTGGGGGGGGGCGATGACCTGTAGGGGGACAGGCCCGACCTACGCGTGAGGAGCCCGCGGAATGCCGCGCGCAGGCGCCCTCGTTTCCAGTTTGGCGTGCCGCGCTGGCGGCCACCATCAGCCGCGCGGCGCAAGGCGTTCTGTCGTCTCGCGTAAGGCCCCCCTTTGCCCGTCGCTGATTTTGGGGCCACCTGGGCCCCTCCAGGGCTCCGTGCGTCCGCTCATCGGCCTCTCGTCTGCCCTGGTTGGAGCAGGGAGTTCTCACGAGGGTCTTCACTGCTCAGGGTCAGGACGGAGTTCTCTTCGGGCTCTCCTCCTTGCACGAACCGCTGAGCCGTGCTTTCCTCTTTCGATGCAGCCGCTGCCCAGACCGAGCCCTCTTGAACCTCCGGACCCGCCCGAGGGAAGGCGTGGGGCGTACTTCAGGAGGGGAGAAAAAACACAGACACAATTAATCGCCGATCCCCAGGAAAATATGGGAAAATATGGGAAGTGGGGGGGAAGACGAAAACCCGGAAAATATGGGAAAGTATAGGGGAATCCTTTTATTTATGTGTATTTATTTGTGTGTCCTGGGGCCCCTTCAGTACTTGCGCACGCACCGCTCTGAGCAGCGTTCTTGTCTTCCGGTGCAGCCGCTGCTGCCAGACACTCCGGCCCTCCCGCGGCCCCGTAGAGGACCCGCGGCGGTTCTTGTTCCCCCCCCCGTGGGGCCGGGCAGCTCTCTGGTTGTGGAGAGGGCGAGTTGGAGCCTCCACAGCTGCACATAGGGGAACAAAAAGTGACATAAACATAACAACTCGGAGGTCCGCGCGGATTTCTCGGATCGGCGCTGGGGCCCCCTGGCGGCGCCTCCAGCGCCGCCCCTGGCGCGCTCCGCGCGCCAGGGAGGGGGGTCCAGCGCTGATCCGAGAAATCCGCGCGGACCTCCGAGTTTTTATGTTTATGCCATTTTTTGTTCCCCTAGCACAACACGAATGCCCGCGGGCCGTTTTGAAAGAGGCACTCCTGGAGTCCCAGAAATTTCACTTGGTGTCTTACCGATCTCGACCACTTTTGGCTGGCGACGCGTTTCGGACTCTGGGTCCTCTTCTGGGCCAAAAGGCTGCGGTGTCCCACGCGCGTGCCGTGCAGCGCGCGAGCAAGGCAACAAGAGGTCAAGAGTGCGGGGGTAAATGAACCCGGCTGCCCACCCACCCTACCCACCTACCAGATTCTATCGGGGGCGGAAAAGAGGGGGGTGATGACTAGGGGGGGGTGGATATCATGGCGGTGGCCATGATATCTCCCCAGATCTCATGGCGCCCCTTCTTATTTCATTACGTCCCTGGCCCCCCCGCTGGGCCGCGCACATGCCGCCGGTCAGGTCATGATTTGCACCCCCCCTCTTGGACACCCCCCTCTTGGCCGCTCCCGATTCTAGTCTACTTCTAAGTGTCTTCCTGCTTCAACGATCGCGTGGCTTCCCCCTTTCCGCCCTCTTTCGGGGGCGGGCGGAGATCCAGGCTGCGCTCCACGCCCTTCCTGCTTCATGCTTCGACCTTCCTCCTTTCGACCGATGGGCGCTCCTCCCCTCTCTCCCCCGGACCCTGTCCGAAGAGCCTCGCGTCCTCTTCGCGTACTCCAGATTTCGTAATAAAGGAAGGGGGGTCTCATTTCGGGGGGGGGTCTCTTCCAGGCTATCTTGGAGGGCCTGGGGGGTCTGGGGACGATGTTTTGGAGGATTCTCCCACGGGGGAGGTCTGAAATGGCTTGTCTTGGAGGGTCCAGACCCCCTCCCTTTTATTACGAAATCTGGAGTACCGTTCCTTTGCAGACAGGATGTCGTTCGGAGGCTGATAGACCTCCTGCCTTGACATCTCGATTAGCGAATCGGCCGTTTTCGGTTCGCGAGAGGGCGCCGCGGCCGTCATTTCTGCGGGTCCAGGTCCGTCGGTTTCGGTCCCAGGCCGTTTTCACTCAAGGGAGGTTTACTAAAGGGAGGTTTGTCCACCGCCGAGTCATGATCTGGTCTGTCCGATGTGCTGTTGCGATCCGGTCGTTTCACGCTCCTCTTCCAAATTGGTGCTCCCGCTGCAGCGCCGCCCTCCTCTCCGCGCTCCGGTCATTCAGGATCGTGCTCCCGCTGCAGCGCTGGCCGCGTTCCCGCGCCTCCGGTTGGTTCCAGGTCGTGTTCCCGCGGCAGCGCTGGCGTGTGGCGTCCTCCAGTGCCATGCCACGGCATGCAGTGCGACAACCGCTTTGGAAGCGTTTTTCTCGGAGGTCTCTTGGAGCCATCTTGGGGCTCTCTGAGTGTCCTCGCGGAGCGTCTTGCGGCACTCTTGAAGTCCTTTTGGAGCTCTCTTGGGGCTTTCTTGGGGCCTTCTTGGGGCTCTTTGGGGGGTCTGGGAGGCATCTTGGGGCCGCCTTGGACCCCCTGGCTCAAAAAGAGGGGGGTAATGAATTCAGCCCCCCCATCGGAGGCTCAAATGTTTTGGCCTCGTGGGGCGCTCTAGGGGCATTCTTGGGGCCCTCTTGGGGCCGTCTTGGGCCCCTCGTGGGGCCATCCTGAAGCCCCAAGAGCCCATCGGAAGCGAAACGGCGAGAACGCAAATCACGTTGATTTTCCATAGGCTGTTCAAGGATATTGCCTCGTGGATTTGTGTCGGAAGCTATCTGGAACCATATTGCGGTAGCTTGAACCATCTTGGAGGCCATCTTGAGCTCTCTGAGGCTCTCTTGGAGCCATCTTGGGTCATGTTGGGCACTCTAGCTACCCGCGGCCCCTCCACCTCCCCGGCCCAAAGGAGGGGCTAGGGGGAGAGGGCAAGACACCCACCCGCCCGCAGTAACACCCGAGCCTGAGCATGTTCAGCGGTCGTTTCTGGATGGAGAGCTACTGGGAACCAAAGCCGACCCCAGGTACGCAACATTTGGGCGAGTTGCGCCACGCGTGCCAGTGGCGCCAAGCGCGCCAGGTACCCCTGGGGCCCGAGCGTGCCAGACTCGCCTCGTGCGCCAGATGCGCCACGTGCTCCGAGTGCGCCAGGTGTGCCGCACACTCCAGCCGCGCCAGGTGCGCCGCGTTCGGGGCACGTGCAGAGTGCGCCAGGTGCGCCTGCGCACGTGACAGCACACATCGGGAAACATGTCGGCCACCGCTATCCTTGTCGCAAGCCGATGCCCATAATTTTGTCTGCTGGGCCTGCGCACAGCAGACCACGCGCCACCACCCCGCCGTCCATGTCAAAAGCCACTTGACAGTAATCGCGGGATGGCCGCGCACGATCCAGATTTAGCCGCGAGGTGCATGATGTATGGTAGGGGTGGTAGCGCTGCGTACAGCATGGAATTTGCTCACACCCTCGCCGTCTTGTTCAAAACCATACGGACTGGCCTCCACTGTACAGTGCCGTTTTTTATACATGCTCCGCGTGCGGATCATGTATTGAAAATGCATGGTTTCGTATTAAAAACAAAGACGAGTTCATACATACATCGAGTCATATAAAATAACCATGTATTCAAAATCCTATATTTCTAGCAATCCGATGTATCAAAAACTGCCCTGCAGGAGTGGCTCATTCCCAGACGGCGCGGGCGCGAATGGCAACGTGGCCATGCCAGGGATGGGGGGGGGGAGGCGCGGAGGGGGGGCCGGGGCGGGGCCCGGCACGGGCGCCATGACGCGAAGAGTCGTCGTTTCCCAGGCTCAACAACCTGGTCGTCTACGGGCCGCTGTTCAGCCTGTTTGTCATCGTCGGCCTGGGGTTCGTAGGCGGGCGGCCGCCGCCCTGCCTGTTTGCCGGCGGCGAGCGAGGGGGGGAAGTCAGAAGGAGAAGGTTTTCTCAGAAGGCGGCGGGAACTTCTCAGAGGCCCTCGCGCTTTCTGAGAAGTTTTTTGTTGTCTTCGGGGAAGGCACGGGGACTTCCACGCCTTCTGAGAAGGCACGCCCCTTCTCGTTTCACCCCCGTGCCTCGCCGCCTATTTTTGCCGGCACGCGCCCGCGGCGCCCAGGATCCGCAGGCGTGCATGCTCAGGGCCCCTCGGAGCTGGTGGAGCTTCGGATGCAACTCCTGGGGGGTCCAATTCTGATTCTGCCCTTGTCCGAAATCCCGCTTCATCCCGCTTCATCCAGCAGAATCCTGCTTGCTCCCGCCTCAATCTGGCTCGATCCCGCTACATCCGAGGCCCAAGCTGGCGTAACCGCCCCCAAAATGGGACCTCATCCTCTTAGTTCACCGAGTGCGTTCCACTACTCGCAGAGTGCCTACTCGCAAGCGTCCGAACAGGACATGTCTGCATTGATGCAATGCATCGTGAATCTCCCATGCCCCATGGCGGATCCAGGCCAGTTGCGAGCAGTTACTCTGCGAGCAGCGCAGCGCGCTTGTCTATGACTCCCTCCGGCGAAGACCTCCCAGTAGTTGCCTCCTCATGGAGCGTGCCCAGGGATCCGCGGCCGCGCCCCTGCACACTCGGAGGGCTTGGTGCCGGTCTGCCAAGCCGCTCAGGGGTCGCGATAGAGGGGAGAGATCGCACGATAGGCTCTGGGCGGGGGGACTGTTCGCCCCCAAGTCCCCCAGTCGCCCACTCACCGTCGACAGGGGCCCCATGGCCCCCACCCCGCCCAACAGCGTGCGGCTCCGCTGTCGGGGGCGTGCTTCAGATCCATCGGCGATGCATTGCCGACTCAAGCTCGAGGTTCCCCGCTTGAGCTGGTTCTCTCCTGGTGATCGCTCCCTCTGACACGCACGTCCCAGGGCCCATTTCCTATCCGATCGATCCGATTCGATGTCCACTCCCGCCAGCCCAACTCGATTCCAACCTTCCTGCGACCCGATGCGGCCTGATGCGATGCAATATTCCGGCGTTCCGACGCTGTTGTGCATTTGGGCACCGACGCTTTGCTTCGATCTCGCCTTGTTGCCGATTTGCAGCCCAGTCTTCAGGAGGAAAAAAACACACACAGACACACTTAATCGTCGATCCCCAGGAAAAC